AACCTTCTCTTCTCCAGGCTGAACACGCCCAGCTCTCCCAGCATGTCTCTGTAGCAAAGGTGCTCCAACTCTTGGAGCATCCGTATCGCCTCCTCTGGGCCCACTCTAACAGGTCCTTGTCTGTCTCATGCTGAGGATCCCAGACCGGGCTGCAGTGCTGCAGGTGGGGTCAGCCTGAGCAAAAATACCCTGTACAGACAGAAGCAGTCATTGACAGGTGATCTTTTTGGATATTTCAGTGTCATCTTCTGCTTTTATTGTTCAAGTGCTCTGTTCTTCTCTGGGTACATCAGAGGGTAAGAGCTGCGTAATTGGATCCTGCAAGGCAACTGGGTTTGAAACAGTTTTAGGAGACACCTCCATGTATCTATAATGTGCATGTTCATAAGCAATAAAGTGAGTATTTGTGTTGAGATACTTTCCATCTCACACACTTTTTTCTGCATTGCATATTCTTTATGCTTGCATATCCAAATTATATTTATCTGTTAATGGATTTCTTATTGTATTTCTGATCAGAATACATGCCCTTGACATTGAGATGCTACAAGAACCTGCCAGCTGCTCTTATCAGAGTTTAGCCTTAAAGAATACAGGCAGGTCTTCTTCCTGCTGCAGCTATACCAGATGAGGAGTTCACTATGCTTCTTGTGAGCTACCATCCTTCCCAGTTTGCTGGTTCAGTTGCTCCCGGGAACCATTTCCGACAAAATAAATCATATAGACATCCAGATTTTAGGATCTTTGCAAATGTGCTTCCTTTTGCAAATATGTGAAAACAAAATCACTTTATTGTAATATTTGTGGTCTGCATAAAGAATGGGGAAGTTTGTCACTGGGGGTGAAATAAAATTGACAAATAATGAAAACATTTAGCACAAATCAAGCAGTCAGATTCTCTATTTTTGCTGTGATTTTTAGGTTACTTACAGCATCTCATTTACTTGCTTCCTTTTCAGGAAGTTTTAGGTTTACAGTAGACTTCATCTTAGAACAGATCTGGCTTGAGGGTATTATGAAGCAAAAAGGTGGAAGGAAGTAATACAGAACTCAGGATCACACTGCTGTCAGGAATATCTTCAGCCATGTTTTTCATTGGCTGCTGTGCTGTTCTTTTCTACAGAGATTTTCTGGATATCAACTGATCTAAAGTGGTTGGAGAAGATGATTCAAAATTTGTCTGATTTAATTTTAAAAGCACAGAAATTAGAGTATGCCTGAGCTCAGCTTTTCTGTGATGCATTAGGGGTCTGGAGTGAAACACTTCCGTCAGAAAAACATGTTGAGCAAAGCTGGAATGCAATGCTTGAAATTTAGGAAAGATGAAACTAATTTATTTGGCTGTAAATTACAGGCTCAGAGGGAACATGAAACTTTTAAATTTTAAAGTTATTTAATGCTGAAAGCAGACTGGGAAAATATTAGTAATGGTTCAGGTTTATTTCAGTCTTGGACATTCAGAAACCAGGATGAGATCTAATGTAAAGGATATTCTATCCCAGATTTTTCCTATTAAGTTTCTAATATTTCTCTCTAAAGTCTGTGATAATCATCACTGGACAAGATCAAGACTTGTCTGGAGCCCCTTAAGGCCTGATCCTGTTTGGGAGGTTAATGTTTGCAGTAGTTCAATATCCTCTGAAGTGCTTTCTTCCCTGTGCTGTTAGTATGGATTTCCCTTTCCAACAGCTCTTCTGTTGGCTGTTATCCATCCTATATTCAGCACATGGAGTTTGTAACAGGTCCTTGGAAAAAACCAGAAACCCCAAAATCCTGCAGAGGAAAATTTCTGAGCGTTGACACAAAATTCCACGTACAACGCTGGTTCCATTTTCGCTAAGGAGCCTTTTCCAAAGCAAACAGATTGCTTTCCTGTTAATGGGGAGGTGTGAGGCTGTGGAGCTTTGGAGCTGTGTGAATCCCATTGCTGTCCCAAACAGCATTGCTGTTTCCTCTCTTCTTTGCTTCCTGGAGCTTAATTTTGTGTCAGAGGTCCATCCTTTTTGAATGGCTTTCAAATGCTTGTGCAGGTGGCAGAAGTGAGGAAGTGGTGGAGCCTGGAGCCACTGCAAGCTCCAGGGGATCCAAGATCATTGATTTGAGCTTGTCATAGACTTTGGAGATAATACCTATCCCTCTTAGTTTTCTAAGCCAACAAGGACTTTTTTTCAGGTCATGGGAAACTGTAATGAAATCCACACAGTTTCAGGTGAGTAAAAACAAGAAAATTGTGGGTTGAACCTTTCCCCATAAGACAAGATTTCAGTCTACCAGTGACCACTGTGGTTCTCTTCAGCACTTGTTGGCATATTCCAGGATGAAAGGTAGAGATCAAGAAGTTGGAATTAGAGGGAATATGATTCAAGATAATTTCTGAAATTACTGAAAGGATGAGGAACTGCAGAACAATTCTTCAGATTATTTGGGTTTTGAAAAGGAAAAACCAGAAGGTTGGTGCTAGTGTTATTTCATTTGAAAGTGTAATAAACAGAAATTTCACAGCCAGTGCTTCAGAAATGTTTAATAAGATTTAAGTTTGTTCACTCTTAAACATTACCTGCCCTTCTCACACAAAAGATCTGTCTGACCTAAAGTACCTTGGCTTTAACTCTTCAAATGAAGGAGGAGAGAACCTTACAGGGGTTTCTCTTGGGACAAATGCTTTTAAATACAGGTGTCATATTTACTGTTCTGAGGTTTTTGCTCCGTATTGCTCCTTTTCTTTGAGAATGACTGAGAGGTTACTGTCTCAGAGTGGAGACTCAGAGCTTGAAAATCACCTGTGGCTCATATGACATGTGGTGGTCACTGTCTTCCCCTTCAATATGTAACAGTCTCCAGATGCAGCAGCAGCCCTTCATCAGAGCAGTGCATTTACTGGGCTTTCTCACTGCACATTGGTTTTGTCTAATTTCAAAAACACATAATCTATAATGTCTAAAATGCTATTGCCTGAGCCCAGTCTAGGGGGTTTAGTGAGTGCAAATTCCCAAGAAATCAGCACTTGATGTAACACTTTTCTGGAAAACTAAGGAGGTCTCCAAGAAATATTATTTTATATTGGGTTAATGCAGATATAATGACTTCTTCCCACTTTTTTCAAAAGTATGCATTCTAGAAGACTTCAGGTGATCGTTCTGAATATTAGGAAGGAACTTGTTTAAACATAAAGTTACAATAAGATAATGAGATGTAAAATGAATATCATGACTTCAAGGCAGAAAACCATCTGATGATGGTAAAGGAGAGTGTGGCATAACTGCAAAGGGGGCTGGGGAATGGGGCAGGGATAATCACTGTTATTTCTGCAGATTCACACAGCACAATGTCTGTCCTCGTATCATCACAGGCTGCCAGCTCCATCCCTTCACGTCTTTTGAATATAGGCAGGCAGATTGACATACGTTCCTTGATTCAAAACTTTCTTCAGCCATTCTCATTAGTGTTTTGTTAATCATTCGGACTGTGCCTTTTCTCCCATGTCCCCTCCCAGCACTGGGGATTTCAAGGTTCAGCTTGCATAACAGGTAATAGCAGGCATTTCCTCCTCCTGTGTCGGGATATCCTGGCGCCCTTCAGTCTCTCTCTGACTGTGTTTAAAACCGACTCCAGCACAGGAAAAAAAAAAAAGGGCAAAAAAAAAAGAGTCCGGTCTAAAATTAGCAGCTATGGTAGAAGAAAGGGCTGTCCCCTGTGCTGTTTGTCAATGAAACAACACATCCAAACAGGGCCAGAATGCATTTCCGCTCTAGAAAAACAGGTCAAGTTTGGAGAGGATGGGAGAGTACAGCAGACATCATGCTGATAGTCAGGGAGAACTATCCAGAAGGTATCCACAGTTACACAGACACAAAGGGGCTGTAGGGAGGGCTTTTATGGCAAGGTTGTATATCTGTCTTTTGGAAGCACTGTCTGGTGCTTGAGGCACTTGTTGCACCTGGAAGATGGATCAGGTGCTTTGAGGGTTACAGAACCTCTGCAGTCTCCTCCTCTCATCTGGATTTCAGGTTCCTCATCCTTAGTAGACCTAAAAGAAACCTAACGATTTTATTGCTGTGAGACTGTACTTAAATCACCTAGGCCAGATTCTAATCTTGTGTTTTTGAAAACCTGAGGTCTCAGTAGTTTTATGCCATTCTTAATATTCTGAGTTGTTAAAGTCAAAATTAAAACTTTAATTGAAATGATGTTGCTTTATTATAACCTATTCTTATATTAATAACATATGTGTGTGTATGTATATATGTATAAATGTGGTATTTTTAATCTGATCTTTGTAATCAGCTTGATTGTTACTCCTTTAATGACAGTTTCCTGCATGGATATCGTATAGGATTGGATTCTTACTGTAATGAATGCTGAAGTTACTTACTTTATGTAATAATGAAAGGTATTATTGCAGAATGTTTACACTTTGTTGCCACTGCTGTCAAAATGGAATTATGATAAACCCATTTCCTCTTTTTCTCATGCAGTTCTGTATACAGTCCATGAGAATTGCTGTGGGAATTTTATTTATAACAGTCAGTGGTATGAATTGACTTAGGCTTTCTTTGCTGGATTGCAGATGTATGTTTGTCAAAATCCAGCTGGTGGTCATTAAGTAAAATTCAGTTAGCTAAAATAAAATAATCATGTTTCAACAAGGCTTCAAAAATTTGCTCAGCCCTTCCACTCTGCTTTCTCGAGTTCCTTGGGTATATTTTGCCCTGCTAAATAGTGGGCTTACTATGTATCCAGTTTGTTTCTCTTATGTTTGCCTTCCTGGTTTCATAGGAAATATAAAGTCTTGGGGTTTTTTTGGTTGGCAGAAGCCTCATTATGACATATTCCAGATAAAAGCTTCTATTCATGTACTGCAGAATCTCATGGGAAGAGCTTGTTGGAGGCAATAAACATATTTTTACTATTCTTTGTCCCTTGAAAGATTTACAAAGTAAGAAACACTTTTCCACCTGGGTTTAATACAGACTGAGCACCGTAAAAAGAAGTGGACTTACTGGCAAGTTGGAACACAGCAGCTATGGCCTCCTCCCACCACTGGGTATCCTGGGAGATGATGGGGAGCTCCATCAGCCCCAGGACGAAGAGGAGCTGGCCGGCAGTCAGAGCCACCGTGGCAATGAGGTTGCAGGCACGCATCATGTCGAACTGCACTAGGAAAACAGAAGCAGCAAAAAGTTACAATAATATAAAACCACGAAAAAGAAAATCCTGATTTAGCAGGAGTATAAAGTTTGTCAGTCCACAAAAAACAATTCTTAGATAGCAGTCCCTTATTGTAACTGCCTTCCTTGCGGTCTGATTGAGAAAGGATTTTTTTCAGGATGTGTATTGATTCTTTCCTTCAGTTGCACAGCATCCCAGAAGTATTGCTTCAGTGCATGGAACAAGCAGCTAATTTCCCAGAATGGCCCACTGGTGGTGCTGGAATTCTCTTCACTGAAGACTTTACCTAATCCATAACCAGAATTGTTTGGGGCAGGATTGATGTTTGTTTTTTGTGTGATACAGAGTGAAATGGAACGATAAATAGTTTTTCAAGGCCCTAAAATAATAGTCATATTATAGTCAATAATATCATTGCTAAGACAAACCAATAACACCCTGAAATTCTTTGCCCCCTAGTCCCTCTGTATTGTCCTAAAAAACGTCCTGTGGATTTTAATGCTTGGGTCTTATTGGTTTACAGAAGCATTGTATATAGGATTCTTAATTTTTGCTTTTTTAATCATTTATTAGTCCTTGGAATACACTGCAAAAATCCTTATATTTCCATCTGTATAATGAGGGAGATGGTTGAAATGAAGATATCAAGGCTTGGCAGTTCTGAATGAAGTGTTAGGGCATAATCTGCATGTACAGGTAAAAAGGTAGCTTTTTAGGGTGTGTGAGCGTGTGTTTAAAAAAAAAATATATAAAATTTCATATATAACTAACAGTGCATTTGTGGAAGTATGTTGTGGAGGTCTACTATTGACCACCTGACCAGGACAATGATACTGATGAATTATAATACAAGGAATTGAGGGATATCTCTAGATCAGCTCCCCTGGGTCTTAAGGGTGATTTTTAAGTTTCCAGACATCAACTGGGAATATCATACAACAGACACAAACAGATTCAGGAAATTTCTGAAGCATATTGAAAGTAACCTCGGGTGCAGGGACTGAAGGGCCAACTCAAAAAGGTGCCCTCTAAGATGTGCAATTTGTAAAGAGAGACTTGTGGGCAAAGTGGTGACTTCTTAATAGTGCAGGAACCAGTACTTCTGAAGCACAGGGAATCATGCAAGCAAGAAAGAAGGAGAGTCTGGCTGAGCAGGGATCTTCTTGAGCTGAAAATGAAAGTGTACAGGCCAGAGTCTGTACTGAACACCATGACAGGGAGGATGACAAACTCAAAATAAAAAGACGTTGAATGATGGCAGTATGCCCAGGATGATGAAAGGCCTCGAGGGTAAGACATGCAAAGAGTGGCTGAGATCATTTGGCCAGTTCAGCCAGGAGAAGAGAAGGCTGAAGGGTGACCCCGTTGTATTTGGCACCTTCCTCACACATTTCTCAGTGGGAGGTGCTGATCTCTGTTGTCTGGTGTCAGGACCTGAGGGAATGGCTGGAGCTATGTCAGGGAAGGATTATGTTGGTTATTAGGAAAAGGTTCTTCCCCCAAGAGGGTGGTTGGGCACTGGAATTAGCTCCTTGGGGCAGTGGTCATAGCCCCAAGGCTGCCAAAGTTGTGGTTTGTGTAGGATGCTCTTAGTGATCTGTTTTAGTTTAAGGTAGTCCTGCAAGCAACAGGGAGCTGAACACAATGGTACTTGTAGGTCCCTTTCAACCTGAGATAATCTATGACTCTCTATTAAAGAAAAAATGCAGCAATGATTACAGACATGGACATCTGCAGTCTTGACTAGAAACCTGATTAAAAAGTGTCTCCCAGCTGGCTACTGAATAGCTTATATCAACTGCAAAGTTGGGTACTTTTAGTCAGACTTTTTTCCTGCTTTTCCTGTTAACCTGATGGATGTCCTGTTTTTATCCCTTTTCCTTCTTCTCTAGCAAAAGGTGGGAGTTACAAATATCATTGTTCCACATCGCTTGCTAATGTGTCATTGCTATTGTGAAATAGAGGTAGCACCATGTGTAAATTGGCATATACTAGAGAAAGACTCTGGAGCAGATTTTTTAGGAGTGTTTTAACTGGCTTTAAGTTTGGTGGATGCACTGACCAGCAGAAATTGGTTCCTGATCTTCCAGGGAGACTGCTAGGAAATGCAGAAAACAAAACTTGATATAAACAAAAGTAAATTTAATTGTGTTAATCATGAAGTCTGACCTACTTTTGTGTTTACTCTTTATTTTCCCCTCATAAGCTGTCTTCAGCTTCACGTGTTCTAAGTAGCAACTCATGATTTAATTAAAATTTAATAAAATATAGTATAGAGGAGTTAGTTAAGAACCATAGTCCATTAAACTTTTTCCATTGAATAAAATGTTAAGACGGTAACATACTAAGTCTTTTTGGCTTCTCCTAGTGAGTTAATTTCTGATCAGTTATTCAGAAAATTTGTTCAAAGAATTTGTGTTTAACTTCTAAAGTTGCCCTTTTAGCATTGGCAGCCTTTCCATCTATTGCCATTTAGAATGCTCACAGATCATGAAGCACATTGGATGGATAACAGAATCACAGTCAGATGAGCTTTGAAAACACCATAAACTTTGAACATTCAGAGTGTTCTGTTTTTCCATTCAGTTGGACTTCTGTAATGCTTTGAGCACCAGTGCTTGCTGAAGAGATAGTAATGACTTTCAAAGGAGAAGTGCCTGAAATAAGAGCAGGCTTGCAGCCATTATTAGTACTTTCATTTGGTGACAGAATTATCTGTAGTGTCAAATTAAAAAATTGTTGCCATAATGGATTATCTTGCCTTGTCTGGATGAGCTCAAAAAAAAAAAAGAAAAAAAAAAGCCATTGTATAATTGTATAAAAAAGCCATTGTATATAAATAACCTTTAAAGGTCTGAAGTTTATGTCAGAAATACATACTGGCCCCTGACACAGAAATTAACACCAAATTTTTGCTTTTGCTGCTATTTGTGACTTTTTAAATACTTAACTGTATTAGAGACTTAAAGCTTTGCCACAGGTGATGTTATATCATGCATACTAAAAATAGTAAGTTTCTGACTGTGACTCAGTTGAACTTCAAGCAAATTTGTAACAACTTAATCTTTACAAAATAGTTCTTTGATCATTGTCCTCTCCTGCAGCTGGAAGTACATTGAATGGGTAACATGATCTTTGCTGCTATTTGTGAGAACTCCACACTTAGGGATGTTTATTGGCCTAATACACTATCACTATTCAGAGAGATGTGGAAATGCAATAGGTATTTTGCATAGCTGCTCCTGTTAACCAGAAAGAAGGTTGCACATGGTCCATGGAACTGCAGCAGGCTGATGATTTGTAGAATAAGAAGGATGTTGCTGCTACGATTTCATAAAATGTGAAGACAATTATTTTTATAGAATAAAGTATTACAACCTGAGTACCTTCCCATCTCTCATATGAGAGATGTTGGTTTATTCTAACAGGTTTAATGTAAGATCTGTCATCTTTTGGTTTTGTTCTAGAATTGCAATGATTCCTCTTGGGCAAAAACGCAAACTTAGGGCTCATTTTCAGGCTAAACAATTCTACGATTCTGAGATCATCAAGTCAAGCTGTTCCCTCAGCACTGCCAAGGCCCCCACTAACCTTATCCCCAGGTGCCACATCCATACATTTGTTAAATCCCTCCAAGGATGGGGACTCCACCCCTAGCTTGGGCAGACTGTCAATGATGTATAACTCTTATAATAATGCATAAAGTCCATTCTTCTTGCAGAGGAGCTTGTTAATTGTATTTAGCCTGAAATTGTGAAGTGACTGTGCTTTCTTACTCACCATTGTAACTTTGCATACTGTCAGCTCAGCACATTGTAATTTTATTTTGTATGTACACAACCCTAAGCTGAGCCTCTGCACCAGTATCTCTGGCTTCCTTTTAGTGATGACAGCCAGTGGACAGTGTAGATCAAGAAAGGGAATTGAGCATGCCATGTTAAAGTATTTCTTCAGAGCTCAGCCTAACACCATTGAAGAAGGAAATCTTGTTGAGGAAGGCCAGGCCACAAAGCTGCTTTCCTGCTTGCTCAATCCAGGAATAAATATTTCTAATATCCTATAAAACTGGCTGCAATATAGTTTTTGTAAAAGCTGCGAAATTTAGTATCTACCTTTGTGCTCTTTTACTCTATTTTAAATTATATGTACAGCAAAAATGCCTCAATAGCCAGCTTTAGTCTATTTTGATGAGTTTTCTATAGATTTAATAATTAGTATAAATTTAGGATCAGCTGTTCAACTATTTCAGCTTCATTTTTAGTAGCCATGATTCCAGTGTCACTTTTTGTGGCCACAGCAGACTTCATCAACTTTTGCATTTTGTTTGTTAATGACAGTTAGTAAAACCAGATGGTCATAGTAGGTTTAGTGTCTGCACAGTTACTGGTGGCATTTGTGTTAACCCCTCACTACTGGATTCTGTTGCCTGAGACTGTCATGACATAGTTATTTTGGATATTCTACTTTTTTTGTTTTGTCAAACTCGTTATTGTTAATGTCACTCATCTCTTGAAATTTAACTGTGATGGAGTTCCCTGTGGCCAGAGGTAGATGTTCCCTGTAGCTAGAGGTCAATAATTCCAGCAGAATAGACCTAGACACTGCAGAAGGTGTTCATTCCTTTGTGTGCATCTGACAGGTGAAACAGGGAGGACAATCCCTCCATCCGTACCTTTTCACCTCCCTTAAGATGCAGCTTGGCTGTTGAGAGCTGGAAAGGGTTGGAGCTGAATGGCTCCAAAAACTCTGCTCTAAGTGTCTGTTGTTCATCAGCATACAGTGCTAGTCTCTGCCTTTTTCCTTGTGGAAGCCCACTGTGGGCCCCATTTTCTCAGAGAAGCAGTTAATTCCTGGACAGGGCAAACAGCTGGGACTCTTGTACAGCCTGAGGTGCTGGCTTAATGAATTCTGCCTCGTTTAAAACAGGGATCAATCAAGAGTCAAACCCCAAACTCTAAGGATGAGACCAAGTCAGATTCCTTGTTAT